GACTAACAGAAGTATTGGGAGCATAAGCTTTCGTGGGTAAGAATCTCACTTCTTCAGCTTTGCATCTGAAGAAGTGAGGTTCTTACCCACGAAAGCTTATGCTCCCAATACTTCTGTTAGTCTTAAAGGTGCCACAGGACCCTCTGTTGCTTTTTACAGAAAGAAAGAGTGGTGCATGGGATGAACAGACAGACAGAGGAGTGCATGGGATGTACAGACAGAGAGATGTTTGGGATGCACAGTCAGAGGGGTGTTTGGGATGCACAGACAGAAAGATGGGTTTGGGATGTAAAGACAGACAGAGGGGTGTATGGGATGCACAGACAGGCAGAGGGTGTATGGGATTTACAGAGGGATAGAGGGTTGGATGCGATATACCTACAGACAGAGGGTTGTATTCGATGCAAAGACAGGGACAGGGTGCAGGCACAGACAGAGGATGTCTGGGATGCACAGACAGACAGAGGGGTGTATGGGATGAACAGACAGACAGAGAGTGTTTGGGATGCACAGATAGAAGGGAGTATGGGATGCACATACAGAGAGGTGTATGGGATGTGCAGAGAGAAGGGAGTATGGGATGCACATACAGAGGGGTGTATGGGATGCACAGACAGACAGAGGGGTGTAAGGGATGCACAGAGAGGCATAGGGTATACAGGATGTAAAGATGGACAGAGGGCTGTATGTGATTCACAGACAGGGGAGTATGGGATGCACAGAGAGAGCGGTGCATGGCATGTACAGAAAGAAAGGAGGTGTATGGGATGCATAGACAGACAGAGAGGTGTTTGGGATGCACAGACAGAGGGGTGTTTGGATGCACAGACAGAAAGAGGGGTGTATGGGATGAACAGACGGACAGAGGGGTGTATGGGATGCATAGGTAGAGAGGAGTATGAGATGCACAGACAGAGAGTTTATGGGATGCACAGATGGACTGAGGGGAGCATGGGATGCAGAGACAGGTAGAGGGTGTATAGGCTGCACAGAGAGGCAGAGGTTGTATGTGATGCACAGACAGGCAGAGGGTGTATGTGATGTACCGATGGACTGAGGTATGTATGGGATGCACAGAGAGGCAGAGAGTGTATGGGATGCAGAGACGGACAGAGGGGTGTATGGGATGCAGAGACAAGAACAGGGTGTACAGGATTTACAAACAGCCAGATGGGTGACTGGGATGTGCAGACAGACTGATGTGTGTATGGGATGGATGGACAGATAGAAGGGTGGATGGGATGCACAGAGGAGTTTATCGGATGCACAGACTGAGGGTATATTGTGTGCACAGACAGTATCAGGAGTGATCCCGGAGTCCCTCTTGGTATCTGCAGTCCCTGGCAGCGCAGTGGAGCTGATCCCCTAGTGCGTGGGAGGGTGCGCCCAGTCCCTCAGCTCACTGCCACTCCTGGCCAGGCCTAGCTCTGGGGCGATTCTTGTCTCCAGCCACTCCGAGGGCCCAGACCCCCTTTCAGCCAGTTGTCTTCCGTCCCTGCGAGCTGGGTGGAGGATTTCCCTCCATATGCACTTGCTGAGCCTGCCCTGAAAGCGGGCTCCTGCCCCAGCAAACGCCCCCAGGGGTGCAACCCAACTGGGCGTGGCAGACCTGCCCTCCTCTCTCGCTCCCCCCAGTTTAAATGAGGAGTAACCCACTAGAGTCCCTGGGGCTGGTTCCCCCTCACTCACCGCGCATAGATCAGGAGTAACCCCACTGCAGTCCCTGGGGCGGGTTCCCCTCTGGTTACAAATGTAACTTTCGCTTTCGCTTTCCTTATCCTCTGCTGCCCCCGTGTGGCTATTTCCCAGCATTGTGAGTCTCTGCCACAGACTGCCTGGTTCACCTTGGGCAAGGTCCCTGAATGCTCTGTGCCGACAGTGCTCGCTCCCTGCCCCACAGGGCGTGTGGTGGGTGAACACGCCCTTTGGTGGGAGGTGTTCAGATACTACAGTGAAAGAGGCAAATAAGCACTGAAAGCTCCATCCATGTCTAAAACCCAGGAGACGTGACACCTCCTCTGCCCTTATGGGACCCCATGCCCCTCCCGGAGTCACGAATAGAACCCAGAAGCCCTGACTCCCAGTCTTGTGCCCCCACATGGAGGGGAGCAAGTTGCCCTCAAGTGAAGTCCTGCATTTTGCTCAGCTAGGCTTGCTAAAGCCATGACAAATATCAGGGCGTGTATTAAAGAAATCCGTAAAGTCCCAATCAAGATCGGGACCCCGTCGTATCGGGCACAGCACAGACACATGGTGACTGAGATCAGGGCCCCGTCGTGCTGGGTGCTGCACAGACACATGGTGACCGAGATCAGGGCTCCATCGTGCCAGGCACAGCACAGACACACAGTGACTGAGATCAGGGCCCCATTGTGCCGGGCACAGCACAGACATACGGTGACTGAGAGCAGGGCCCCGTCATGCCGGGTGTTGTATAGACACACGGTGACTGAGATCAGGGCCCCATCGTGCCGGGCACAGCACAGACATAAGGAGACTGAGAGCAGGGCTCTATCGTGCCGGGCACTGCAGAGACTCAGTGAGAAGCAATCCCTCCCCCAAATCTCAACAGAGAACAGTTTTATCTCCATTTACAGATGAAGAATAGAGGGAAAGAGCAATGAAGTGTTAGATTTTTAAAGTTATTTAGGTGCCTGCTTTTGCAGAGAAGCACCCTGTGGGATTGTGCAAGGCACCTACTGGCCTAACTCCTGTTCAGTGTAATTTAAGCCCTTGGGCACTTTTGATTTTCCCCAGCTGGGGATCTAGCCTCATTGACGCCAGTGAAGCGACACTGGGAATTACGCTGCTGCTGTGGTGTAGCAGAGCCTTCTCCTTGGCCAAGGCTGTTGCTCCGCCCTGGGCGGCCCTGGCTGTGGGCTGTGGTCTGGCTGAGCCAGGCCCCTCTGGGGCGTGTGGGGACTGATATAAAATTATTCTACTTAACTGCCAGGGGGCAAATTTGTCACGTACACATGGAAGATATACAGCACAGCTATAGCTATGTCTTAACTCAGGAAGTTCCTTCGAGAGGAAATGTAGCAAAACGCCAAACCTGCAGACAATGGACCTTTATGTGCCTGCGTCCTGTAGATAAACTGCTTGGTTTGCAAAATAAGCAAGGAGGAGGGGGCAAATAGGTGAACAATAAGGGGTCATAAGAGGGGCAGATACATGTAGCTTGCTAATTATGTATGGTAATGATGACAAATTTTGGCCAATCATAGAGCGATAGATTATCATAAGCAACTGCATATAATGCTTTGGTGTAAGTGTTTTCTTTGTTCTTGCTGACTTATGAGCTTGAACCCAACTGCAATTGAAATAAACAGATCGCCCCTCCCAGGGCTCCTTGCTTAGCTAGCTGTGTCCGTCTCTCCTTATTCCTCAGCTGGAACGGACAGAAATTTCTATGACAGGGTCTCTGCCCTCCCCTGCAGGCCTCGTCTGGGCTCTGAGCTCCCCATGTGTTGGCCTGTGCCAGCCTGGCCCCAGTTCCAGGAGGGGTGGGGGAGGAGGGATGAGATCCCTCCCTGTTGTTTGGGGGACTTCAGGCCGGTGTGCGCACAGCCGTGGAGTCAGCGAAACAGGCAGTGGCCTCCTGCCCTGGGCTAGTCCCCCATGGGGTGGCTCGGGAACAGTCACCCTCCTGCACTCCCCATTAATTTTCAAGTGCTGACAAGCCCCAAGCCGGGAGCTCGGCCTGCCCCGCGCAGCTGACAGGAAATGATGCTCGGCTCCCTTGGCTGTGGGGTGGAGGGGAACTTTCTCACTGAGCGGGTGCACGCTGGCTCTGTGGGGCTGCTCCTGAGGAGCCTTTTCCTGCAGCTGGGCAGGCCGGGACAGCAGAACGGGACGGAGAGGCTGCAGAGAGGACTCGCTCCCCAGTGCTTCCGTCCTGGCCGGGATGCGGCGGTGAGGGGCTGGGCCTGCCCCCCTCCCTACCACTCAGGGAACAGCTTCACTGCAGGATCCGGGGCTGCAGGTATATAGGGGATTCCTGGATCAGTGCAGATCCTGCCTGTCTGTCTGTCTGTCTGTGCAGCCCGTCCCTGCTTGGCTGTTTCTCTGTTGTGAGGCTGAAATTGGCTCCTTTCCCCTAGATCCTCATTCGTGGTACTGGTTCCTGATTCCGAGAATCGTTGCTGTTTTTCATTCTGCACTGGCAAGTCAGACTTTCCGAGTTTTCCCCACCACTGTACAGCTGAACGAGAGGACAGTTTGTGTCAGTCGTTCAGCATTTATTGAACCATTCAAGAGAGCAGCTGGGTTTGCCCGGCTGGACACGACACACTGTGGTTTTGGGGACCCCCAGGTGATGTATCCCCATGGCCGTCAGGCTGTCTAGAAGCAGCTGGCATGTGCCTCTCGCTGATCCAAAGCTTTTTTTCCTGCACAATGTGCTGCCACGGGTCATGCCCCCTGCCCACTTCCATTCTGTTTTAGGTGCTTGAATAAGTAACTGGGAATAAGGAAACTAACTTCAGCCTCATCTGTCTATCTGTCCATCCCCAACCATACCCACCGGTCTGTCTCTCTGTTCCCATCTTTCTATATATTCATCCTCATAGAATCATAGAATACCAGGGGAAGGGACCTCAGGAAGTATCTATCTATCTATCTATCTATCTATCTATCTATCTATCTATCTATCTATCTATCCCCCTTTCATTCTCTAGCCACCATCAGTCATCTTGTCACGTAGGGCATGTTAATTTCCACATGTGTGTGCATTTGGGGCAGGGGTGGCTGCTGCTCCCACATGTCCCCCCATCTGTGTGCGGATTAGGACACTCGGACAGGGGCCAGTGTGTTCGCCAATATCCGTGCCAGTCCTTCCTCGCTAGCCCAAGGCATAGGTGGATTCACAGAGTGCACCAGATCTTGCTCCATCTAGCCCCATGGCTGGCCTCGCCTGAGATGTAAGGGCCCCGCAGTGCTGGGTGAGCTGCCCCCAGGAGAGGTGTAGTGTGATGACACCCACCCACTGCAATTTCCTGGAGCCTGCTGTTTGGGCAGTACTCATGGGAGACTTAGGCCATGATTGGAATGGGACGCTGCATTGCAAGCAGGAAAGAAAGGGTTAACCCCCAGCGGATGCCTCAACCAGGAGTTGTCCCATCTGTGCCTCGGCCCCACGCCCACTGGCTGTGTCCTGCAAGCCCACTGGCCACGCCCACCAAAGCACACTTGTACTTCCTAGGGTTAAAGCCCGTGGCCTGAAATCCAGCCACGCCCAGCAGATTTGTGGTGTCCAGGGCAACTTGGAAATGTTGGCGCTGACCCAATCCAAGGGAGCGATGAGAGGTGGGGAGTTTCAAAGGTGACAGGGAGAGTTAGGAACACATGACGCCTAATGCCCTGCGGCTTCTTTGAAACACCCACTCCTCAGTGCCACCACACCTGCTGCCCATCCAGAGACACCCATCACGGCTTCAGCTGACTGGGGGTTTGAACCCCAGGCCTTCAGAGCAGAAGCCCTTTGCATTGGAGCTGACGGTGTAGGTCCACCAGGTGGTGGCAATAGCAGGCTATTTTCCCATTCCATGGAGCAGCCTCCAGAGAGATACATGCCCCACGTTAGTGTGGGATCCCAGCATTCAAGAAATGTGGGAAGAACAACCATCTCGGGCCAGTAACGTCATACAATACGTCTTGGCCCTATGGGAGAAGCTTGACACCCTGGGCTCATTTGCCAGGGAGAACCATCTACACACTCAGAGCACCCAGGATGCAGCCTATAATTAAGGATATTATTTTGTCATGGAGATCATGGAATTCTGTGACTTTAATGGACCTCCGTGACTTCTTTGGCTTCAGCCCCCTGCCTGGCCCCACTGCAGAAGTAGTAGTGGGGCTGGAGCAGTGGCCGGCGGTCAGCCACCAGGGCTGGAGCAGTGGCTAGGGCTGGGACTAGAGCAGTAGCTGGGGATGAGTACAGGGCTGGAGCAGCCATAGGAACTAGGCTGGAGCTGCAGCTGGGGCTACGTCAGCCCCCCGGGGCTGGGTGGGTCCAGGCTGGAGCAGTCCCCAGGGGCTGGAGCAGCGGCTGGAGCTGGAGCAGCCCCCCCTGCAGCAGCAATGGCCGGGCTGGAGCAGCTGCCAGCGCCCCTGATAGTCCCCTCCCAGTATTTTTAGTAAAAGTCAGGGACAGGTCGTGGGCTTCTGTGAATTTTTGTTTATTGCCAGTGATCTGTCCCTGACTTTTACTAAAAGTACCCGTGACAAAACCTTAACCTTACTTATCATTAAAGGGCTGACCTCCGGGAGTTCCAGCCCAGCAATCATGTTCTCTTGTTATTACCTAGCTCCAAATCAAAACTCCCAGCCCGCTGGCAAGGGCCCCATAAGGTGGTGCGCTGAGTGGAGCAGGTGAGTTTTGAAATCCAACAACCAGACAAGTGACAGGCACAACAAATCTACCAAGTGAATCTTTTAAAACCATGGAAAGACCAAGAAAGTCTACTAATAGGCCCCTACGCACCTGAACACCAATAGCCCCCTACACACCTGAAGCCCAATTAGGCTTGCAGGTTGTCGAAGACTCGGAGCCAGGGATGGTCAAGACTGGAAACACCCTCACCCCAAACCAGAGAAGCCAGGCTTCACAGGTGATCACCACCTTCTCTTCCATGTTTTCTACCTACCCTGGATGGACCCATTTAATAACCCATAACAGTCAGACAGAACCGGGGCTTAAAGTCAGAGAAAACCCTCGACCATTTCTCCCAAAGTTGAGGGAAACCATGAAGCGAGAACTCCAATCAGTGCTAAAACTGGGAGTAATCAAAGAATCATGCAGCAACTGGAAAAGCCCCGTAATGTTGCTTCTCAAGACTGATGGGACCACCTGGTCATGTATCAATTTCCAGAAGGTCAATGCAGTCTCAAAATTTGATGCATACCTGATGCTATGTGTTGATCAACTTCTCGACCAGCAAGGGGAAGCGGAGTACATCACTACTCTCGATCTGACAAAGGGATATTGGCAGAACCCCGTCACAGAATCCAGGGAAAAGACAGCTTTTTCCATCCCCTTTCAGTTCCGGACAATGCCCTTTGGGTTGCATGGGGCTCCGGAAACATTCCAGCAGCTAGCGGACCAGATCCTCCAATCCCATAGCCAATATGCTGCCGCATACCTAGACGACGTCACAGGTATCTACAGTCAAAACTGGCAGGACCACCTAAAGCATGTGACAGCCATGTTACAATCCCTCCAGGAGGCTGGCCTGACAGCAAATCCTGCTGAATGTCACTTGGGCAAGGATGAAACAACCTGCCTCAGGTACACTAGGAAAAGGTGCGGTGTGACCCTTGGTCAATAAGGTTCAGGCCCTCCAGACGTGCCATGCCACTTCCTTGAGGAAACAGGTACGCCAGTTTTTAGGAGTAGCTTGACACTACTGCCGATTTATTCTGGTTTTCTCAACCATTGTGGCCCCTCTCACTTATCTGCTCAAGAACGGCCCAAACATGATCCAATGAACCAAAGCTTGTGAGGAGGCTTTTCAAGCCCTGAAGAACCCGTCTTGTACAGCCCCGATTTCACCAAGGAGTTCCTGCTACAGACCGATGCATCGGATGTGGGTCTAGGAGCCGTTTTGTCTCCGGTGGTGTAAGGTGGTGACCCTCTTGCCAAATTCCAAGTCTCCCGGAGTAGTAGGGGGTTAGGGAAGCAGCACAGTCTCTTAAGGATTGTACACTGAATGCCGCTGTATCCAGTGCTGTGGTGTTGCCCCACGGTGTTAAGCCGGCCATTATCTGCATCAGACGCCATCGGGTTAAATAATTATTGGGGTTTTCATTGGGCTCTTGGGTTGTGGCTACAGCTTGTGCTATAAAATTGCGCCTGCCTATTTACTCTCCAAAAAGTCCCATTAGAGTCAATATGCTATTGTTCTCATCAACTCTAATCCTATCTAGGGCCCTCCGAATCTCTGAAGCCGCACAGATGTCCATCAAGCGGCAGACTTCAGTGGTGTTCAGCTGTTCCCTTATAGTGAGCAAAAACGCGTTAGAACACCATCTGGAGAAATTGTCCTTTTTTAGGGGTCCCAAACTATCAGCCATGGCTTTTAAGTGAGCAGCTGATACAAGGACAGTGGTGACGGTTGTACTTCCCCCTCCCTCTGCAGGTGTTGTGACTGTAGTTCATCGTATGGCTGCGATAGGGTTTTGTTTGATAGGTTTCAATCCCTGGGGCTCATCCCATATATCTCCATTCCAAGCTTCACTAGGGTCCCATTTTCCCTCCCATTCAGGGACCTCACTATCTTGGGCTTGGCCCCATTCTCTTGTCATCACAGCTGCTACTTGGCGGGTAGCAAACCCCAATTTTGTTTTAAGATGCTTAATAATAGATTCACAGTGGTTGTGATTGGCAGGGGCTCTACCTTGTTCTAATGTTAATTTCTTTATCATTCCCTGTAAAGCCTGATTCTCTCTTTGTATTTTATCTTTTTCCTCTATTCGTTCAGATAATCCCCTCTCTTCTATTTTAACTTCTCTTAGGGTATCTTTGAGAATGTCTAACTGGCTTTGAACTCCAGTGACCAGTATTTTCCATTTGTCAGTTTCTCCTTCAGATACATTAAGTTTCTCATGCAGTGCAGCATTCTCCTCCTGGTGGCTAGCCAAGTGAAGGAATGCCTCATTGCATGCTTCCCACAATAGTCAGATTGCAGCCGAGTCTCTTTTATTCGGGGTCGATGGCCTGTAGACCAACAGATATTTTGCCAATCTATTTTCCAAATCAGCTATAGTATGAACATCGGCTAATGCTTGTTCAGTTCATGGGCTGTGCCCAAACTTTTATAAAATTGTCTTAAAAGGAGTCATTTCCTGTATGAATGGTAATTTTTTCTGCTCTTCTTGAGCTTTGTCCTTAGGGGATTCCTTTCGCCTAAACATATTTCTTTATAAATCTCTTTTACCTTTATAACACTTCTGTGCCCAGGCTGGTGCTGGGACTTACACAACACAAATGTCTATACCCACTAAAAACTCTACCTGACAGAACAGGAGGGGGAACGCTAAGCCCCCTACCTTTTGGGCTTGATCCTGCTATGACTGAGGGTATATTCACCTATGCAATTTTTCCCTGACAGACGGGTAGGAGCGAGGACTCTAATCCTCCCCCTTATGGCCCAGCACCTCTACAACCGGGGGTGTATATACCTGGACAGTTTGTATATATCTTATCTGTATAGTTTTCCCTGACTGACGGGTTGGAGTGAGGCCTTTAATCCTCCCCCTATTGCCAGGCACTTCCACGACCGGGGGTGTGCACACCTGAATGATCCATCACTTTATACAAATGGTATAACCTTTTAGCAATATTTAGCAGTATTTTCAACAATCACAATGCATGTCTTCCCCCTTTTGCAATTCTCCACCAAAAATGTTATGCTTATAAGAAGCACACGGGATCTTTTTCAGGGGAAAAGGCAATACACCGCATTTATTGAAGATACAACAATTAGCATATGCATTCAATCACACCACACACACACTCACACTGTCCCGCCAGTCAATGTGATAGTTACCAGTCCAGAGTCCGGATCAAGCTAGTGGCCAGCTAGGTTGATCACAAGTGGGGAGGAGCTGGGTTCCGTCTGTTGCGACATGATGCTCCAGGGAAGTCTTGGCAGGATGAACCCAAAGTTTCATGGCAAGACACTCTGTTTATATAGTGATTTTCCTTCATTGGTCCCAATGAGTTTTGCACCGTCATGCTGTAATCAATTGTTTGACGAGTGCTTGTTTTCTTAAATTGTCCTTCTCATTCTTTACGTCATGTTCCTCAGGGAGTTATTCCATGCTGGTTTTGATCACAGCTATCTTGTCCCCATTGATAGGTGCCTGTCTCATCTTTAGAGTCGTCAATCTGCCCTGCAATGCTTCAATAGGGGCGTGTTGCAGCCTCCTGGTGCCCTTGCGTCTGTCTCCGTCTCCTCCCTAGACCAGCCGGTTCAGCAATGGCCTTCACACTTATCTCTTAACCCACACATTCCTCATTCACACACAAAACAAAATTAATGTACACAGAACATTTTGAACAGGAACATCAAATTGCAATGCCAAAAAAAAAAGGAATGATCATGGCATTCCTTTACTTATTTTAAAATGCTAAACCTACAACAAATTGGTGACCCTCAAAGGATCTGTTACTGCCTTGAAATCAGTCCAGACACAGATTCTGGCTGATGGCCCATTAGGCCATTCCTTTCTGCTATTCAAAAAGGGTGACTGGCAGAATATGATCAAATCATACACCAATACATTTAATACATACTATATTATTATTCTTTATCCTTCATTCTAAATGATATAAAATACAAACATAAAATCCTACTACTACATCAGCAGCTGCTGCTCTCCTGCCCTCTCCTTATGCAGCCCAGGGGTGCCTGGGGCAGAGGAGCAGCCGTCCCGTGGGGGAGCGAGAAGCAATGCCAGCTGCTTTGTGCATCCTGGTGGGTCAGTTTCCCCATATGGGTGCAGGAGGGGGATGCAGGGGTTAGGGGCACAAGATACAGGTGCAGGTGTTGGGGTGAAGGGGGCACAGTGCAGGGGTTAGGGAAATAGGTGAGGAATGCAGGGGTCGGGGTGAGGGGAGCATGCACAGTGCAGGGATTAGGGGCGCAGAAGGAAAGTGCAGGGATTGGGGTGAAGGTGGCACATTACAGGGGTTGGGGGAAGGGGGGGGAGCCTGGGGAGCCCATGGGGGACCAGGGGCAATTGGGGGGCACCATGCCCATGGGGGCCAGGAGCACCAAAATGCAAGTTGCCCCGGATGCCATTTTCCCTAAGGCTGGCACTGTCTACAGCCATTGGTGTTGGCATCTGTCGGCTTTAAATACAATACCACTTCTTAGCATGCGTTTATAAGGGGAAAGCTGTGCTTGCACAAATGGAAATAACACGGTGTTCATCCGAGCCCAGACGGTTTAATTTTCACTTGCTAATGAGAAAATAATTTCCACTGCACCCTCTTTGCTTAGGGGAATGAGCGACCTTGAAGTCCAGGATCCTGTTTCACGGCTTCCCTTGAGAATTTGATTGCTCAGAAACATCTGTAAAGTATTCCCTTAGCACAGCCAGCCGGCAGCTGTAACACCTGCTGCTAGCAGGCCAAATGCCAACTGTCAAATGTTTCTGAACTGGCATGCCATTTCACTTCATGCACTGTCATTTTTTCAATGCAAGCAGGGAGGAAAAAGGTCTGTTTCTTTGGAGGAAATGTTCCCAGACTGCCAGTAGATAGCAGACATGCAAGGTGGGTGAGATAATATATTTTATTGGAGCAACTCCTGTTGGTGAAAGAGACGAGCAAAACTTGTCTCTGTTGTCTCTTTCATCAGCAGAAGTTGGTCCAATAAAAGATATTAACTCACGCACCTTGTCTCTCTGATATCCTGGGACCGACACAACTCCAGCAACACCGCAAACAGTAGATAGCAGGGGAGTTAATAGAAATAACTTAAAAAAAACTAAACAAACAATCCAAACTCCCAACCACAAAGGGAAAATTATTTCAGTGTCTAAAAATGGAGAAACATCCCAAGCGAATTTTTTTCTTGGCTCTCTTCCAGAATTTCAGCATTTCTACACTGCTATAGGGTGCTTGGGGAGCTGGCATTCCCAATTGAAATCATGGGCTCTGTGTCAACAAACGGGAATCAAGAGTCCTGCATTTGCTCCAGTAAAAATTGCTGATCTCTGATCTGCTAAGAGAGATCTTCCAAGAAGTGTGTGGCTTTTCCAAACATTGATGTGTTGCTTTGTTCTTAATGGGGTGGTGTCTAGAGAAGGATCGGACCAGATCTGATTTCTGAAACGCATGTTTTTGCAGGAGGAAAAAATAATACTTTGAAGAAAATTTTTTGGTTAAAAAAGTCTCAGATGGAATTTCCATGTTGGTAGAAAATTATAAACAGCTGCTCACCTTGGCATGAGCTGTCCACTTCGGATAGTGGGTTTACCGACAATATTACATGTTGGTGGTTAAAAACAATGCTTTTAATGAGATTATTTTCAATTTTTTACGCAACCTGGGGGGCTTCACCCACCCAAACACCCAAGCATAGGGGCTCTGCCACATCCACCCCAGTGGGGGCTCTGCCCCTCGTCCATGGGCCCCACCAGAAGACTTACAAACCCAGCATCTGCACCTCCTGGGTCTTTCCCCACAAGGGCTCAGTCTCCAGGTGCTCCTACTCTAGGGTTACCATACGTCCTCTTTTTCCCGGACATGTCCGGCTTTTCGGCACTCAAACCCCCGTCCGGGGGGAATTGCCAAAAAGCCGAACATGTCCGGGAAAATGGCGGCTCTGCTCCTCCCCTGACTCTTCGGCTCTGTTTAAGAGCCGAGCTGCCCCAGTGCTACCGGCTTCGGGCAGCCCCCTTGTC